ACCTCAGATGATCTGCATGCCTTGGCCTCCCAAAGTGCTAGGATTACAGGCATGAGCTACTGTACCCAGCCAAGAGAATAGATCTTAAATATTCTCACCACAAAAAAACTGAGGTGATAGATATGTTAGCTTGATTTTAAAAAAATTTTTTTTAATTTTTACTTTTTTTACAAAATAGAGAGAGGGTTACACTATGTTGCCCAAGCTGGTCTTGAACTCCGGGCTCAAGCCATCCTCCCACCTGGGTCTCCCAAAATGGTGGGATAACAGACGTGAGCTGCTGCACTTGGCCAGCTTGATTATTTTTTAATGGCAAACAAGCTCATGAAAAGATGTTCAACATTGTTAGTTACTAGAGAAGTACAAATTAAACCTCAATAATATACCACTATACATCTGTTAGAATGGCTAAAAAATTTTATTTTAAAGAACAAAACCCCAGGCTGGGCGTGGTGGCTCATGCCTGTAATCCCAGCACTTTGGGAGGCCAGGGTGAGCGGATCACGAGGTCAGGAGATTGAGACCATCCTGGCTAACACAGTGAAACCCCAACTCTACTAAAAATACAAAAAATTAGCCAGGCGTGGTGGCGGGCGCCTGTAGTCCCAGCTACTTGGGAGGCTGAGGTAGGAGAATGGCATGAACCCGGGAGGCGGAGCTTGCAGTGAGCTGAGATCATGCCAATGCACTCCAGCCTAGGCGGCAGAGGGAGACTCTGTCTCAAAACAAAAGAACAAAACCTCAAATCTGATAATACCAACTGTAGACAAGAATGTGGAGCAACTGGAACAGTCATACATTGCTAGTGAGAATGCAAAATGATACAACTGCTCTGGGGAAACAGGTTAGCAATTTCTCATGAAGTTAAACATGTACTTCCCATTTGACCTAGCAATCTCCTAGGTGATTCTTACCCAAGAGAAACGAAACTTAAGTTTGCAAGAAACCTGTACACAAATGTATACAGCAGCTTTATAGTTGCTAAAAACTGGAAACAAACCAATATCTTACAGTTGGTAAGTAGATAGTGTGGAATACCCTTGGCAATAAAAATAAGTTGTTATATACTACAACTTGGATGAATCTCAAATGCATTATGCTAAGTGAAAAAAAGCCAAACTCAAAAGGCTACATACATATGATATGATTTGGTTGTGTAACATTCTGGAAAGGCAAAACTATAGGGACAGAAGACAGACAGATCAGTGGTTGCCAGGGATTAAGAGTGGGAGCAGGGTTTGACCATGAAGGGGTTTTGGGAGTGATGACCATGAAGGGGTTTTGGGAGTGATGATATTCTGTTTTTTTTTTTTTTTTGAGACGGAGTCTCACTTTGTCACCCAGGCTGGAGTGCAGTGGCACGATCTCGATCTCGGCTCACTGCAAAAACTGGAAACAAAGGAAGTAAATATGACAACATGCTAATTACATATGAGATTATCAGTATTGCTTTATTATTGTACTTGTATTTTTTAATTAATTGACATACAAACAAGGCAAAATATATCCCCCTTAGAGAAAATTTAGAAAAGACAGAGAAGGAGATAGAAAAAGTCACCAGTTGTCTTTTATTTATTTATTTATTTATTTATTTATTTATTTATTGAGACAGAGTCTCGCTCTGTCACCCAGGCTGCAGTACAGTGGTGCCATCTCTGCTCACTGCAAGCTCCGCCTCCCAGATTCACGCCATTCTCCCGCCTCAGCCTCCAGAGTAGCTGGGACTACAGGCGTCCGCCACTATGCCCGGCTAATTTTGTTTTTGTATTTTTAGTAGAGACGGGGTTTCACCATGTTAGCCAGGATGGTCTTGATCTCCTGACGTCGTGATCCGCCCGCCTCGGCCTCCCAAAGTGCTGGGATTACAGGCGAGGGCCATCGCGCACGGCCCACCAGTTGCCTTTAGATATTGTATTTTTTATTATTTTCTACATGTCTTTTTGCACAATGAAAAGTGTACCGTAAGAACAATTTTGCCTGTGGTTTTACTTAGTATATTCTAAAGTTGTTTCCTTTGCAATTTTTTTTTTTTTTTTTTTTTTTTTGAGACACAGTCTTGCTCTGTTACCCAGGCTAAAGTGCAGTGTCGCGATCGCAGTGTCGCGATCACAGTTCACTGCAGGCTTGACCTTCCTGAGCTCAGGTGATCCTCCAGCGTCAGCCTCCTGAGCAGCTGGGACTATAGGTGCACCCACACCTGGCTAATTTTTTGTATTTTTTGTAGAGACAGGATTTCATCATGTTGCCCAGGCTAGTGCTGAACTCCTCAGCTCAAGTGATCTGCCCACCTCAGCCTCCCAAAATGCTGGGATTACAGCATTTGTAATCCCCTTCCTCTTAAATGACCTTTGAAACATATTTGCAATCTCAAAGCCTGCATTTATCTAAACTACTGGCTTCATTTTAGGGATGTAGGCATTTCTGTAATATTAAACTGGTATATTTCACCTCGCTATCATGGCAGTACAACTGAGGGGATGTTTGCATGAATCTTGTGAATTATGATGGCTCTGAGCCATTGTAATTTGATTAACCGAAGTCTTACTTTGGGGTTTATTTTTATTATTTATTTATTTATTTTTTGAGATGGAGTCTCACTCTGTCGCCCATGCTGGAGTGTAGTGGTGCTATCTGGGATCACTGCAACCTCTGCCTCCTGGATTTAAGTGATTCTCCCACCTCAGCCTCCCAAGTAACTGGGACTACAGGCACAGGCAACCATGCCGGGTAATTTTTTGTATTTTTAGTAGAAATGGGATTTCACCATGTCGGCCAGGCTGGTCGTGAACTCCTGACTTCAAGTGATCTCCTCACTTCGGCCTCCCAAAGTGCTGGGATTACAGGCGTGAGCCCCCACGTCTAGCCTACTTTGGGATTTTTCTCTACAACATTTTCATGTTGTTAATGTAGCTGGGGGTCCAGCATCACTGCTAGTCACTTAATCCGGCTGGAGGCCACCAGGATACACCATCTCTTTGTAGTAAGCTGTTAAGGAGAGCCCTAGGCAAAATTACTTAGGTTGATGGTGTCAGTGCTTTTGTGGAGATGTCCAACTCCTGAGGTTCACTCGTACTGTCATTTTTTCCTAAGGCATCAGGTGATGAGCCTCTCTGACCCAGCGTTCTGACTACACTACCCTTTTCACATTCTTTTCTTTCTTTTTTTTCTTTTTTCTTTTTTTTTGAGACAGGGTCTGGTTCTGTTGCCCAGGCTGGAGTACCCTGGCATGATCACAGCTCACTGCAGCCTCGACCTCCCGGGCTCAAGTGATCCTCCTGCTTCAGCCTCCTGAGTAGCTGGGACTACAGGTGCACGCCACCATTCCTGGCTATTTTTTTCATTTTTTATAGAGACAGGACCTTGCTATGTTGCCCAGGCTGGTTTCAAACTCCTGGACTCAAGTGATCTATCTCCCTTGGGTTCCCAAAGTCTTGTGATTACAGGCATACGGTGCCTGGCCTTCACATTCTTATATACCCTTCTGTTTCCTTAGTTGTGAAATGGAGATAATGACATAGCCTTAATTCATGTGGGATGCTTAGCACGGTGCCTGGCACTTGATAGACTTTTTCTTTCTACTTGAAATTTATTTTTGAGCTGGGCATGGTGGTTCACACCTGTAATCTCAGCACTTTGGAAAACCAAGGCAGGCAGATTACCTGAGGTCAGGAGTTCGAGACCAGCCTGGCAAACATGGTGAAACCCCATTTCTACTAAAAATACAAAAATTACCTGGGTGTGGTGGCACACACCTGTTATCCCAGCAACTCGAGGCTGAGGCAAGAGAATCGCTTGAACTCGGTAGACAGAGGTTGCAGTGAGCTGAAATTGAGCCACTGCACTCCAGCCTGGGTGATAAAGTGAGACTGTCTTAAAAATATATATTTTTGGCCGGGCGCGGTGGCTCAAGCCTGTAATCCCAGCACTTTGGGAGGCCGAGACGGGCGGATCACGAGGTCAGGAGATCGAGACCATCCTGGCTAACACGGTGAAACCCCGTCTCTACTAAAAATACAAAAAACTAGCCGGGCGAGGTGGCGGGCGCCTGTAGTCCCAGCTACTCCGGAGGCTGAGGCAGGAGAATGGCGTAAACCCGGGAGGCGGAGCTTGCAGTGAGCTGAGATCCGGCCACTGCAGTCCAGCCCGGGCTACAGAGCAAGACTCCGTCTCACGTAAACAGGATGTAAAAAAATATAAATATATATATATATATATATATATATATATTTTTAACTAATATAAAACTCTCTGGATCCTTCTTTTCCTGAGCTGCATCTCCACTTGAGTCCATCCCACATCATTGAACATTTAATTACACAGAATTGGGTACCATCTTCCTTGACCCCCAGATCTTTAGCCTTCTATAGTACCCTGTGTCTCTTTTTGTTGTACGAGTCACAGTTGCATTTTTTTTTTTTTTTTTTTTTTTTTTGAGACAGAGTCTCATTCTGTCACCCAGGCTGGAGCACTCACTGCAACCTTCGCCTCCTGGGTTCGAGCAGTTCTCCTGCCTCAGCCTCCTAAGTAGCTGGGATTACATGCCCGCACCATCACACCAGGCTAAGTTTTGTATTTTTAGTAGAGATGGGGTTTCACCATGTTGGTCAGGCTGGTCTCGAACTCCTGACCTCCTGATCAGCCCTCTTCAGCCTCCCAAAGTGCTGGGATTACAGGTGTGAGCCACTGCACCCGGTCATAGTTGCAATTTTATTTGTGTGATTGATTGCCGTATGACCCTTTTATTGAAGTACAGTGAAAGCAGGAAACATGACCGATTTTTACAATATTTTCAACACTTACCACCATAGGTGGTACATAGTAAGGCCTTAATAAACATTTGTAAAATGAACAAAGGTCATGAGGGTTTATGTTTGTAGTTTTAATTGCCCTAAAGTAAATATCTGATTTGCCAATTTCCACCAGAGTGCTCTGCACATAGTAGGTCTAATTATTTTTCCCTCTTTACTAATCACCCATGCCTTGTAAGAATTCAGTTAGCTGACTTTTTGTAGTTTATAAGCGTGATGACTGGGTGTTCCCGTGTGTGTTAGATGTGCCACCCTCGAACCTTGTTACTACGGCGGCACATCGCGCGTCTGACATGAAGAAAAAAAAAATTCAGTTAGTCGGACAAGAAGAGTGGCTAAGGCCTGTAATCCCTGCACTTTGAGAGGCCAAGGCAGGAGGATCACTTGAACCCAGGAGTTCGAGACCAGCCTAGGCAATATAGCGAGACTCCGTCTCAAACAACAAATAAAAATAATTCGTCGGGCATGGTGGTGCGCGCCTGTAGTACCAACTGCTCCGGAGGCTGAGGCGAGGGGATCGCTTGAGTCACGGAGGTCAAGGCTGCAGTGGGCCAAGCTCGCGCCACTGCACTCCAGCCTGGGCGACAGAGTGAGACCCTGTCTCAAAACAAAACAAAACAAAACAAAAAACCTTAGAGGATTAAAAAAAAATTTATAGTGGAAATATAGTAACGAGTTGGCCTAGGCTCGTCTTCGTTCAGCCTTCGCCTCCGCTCAGCCGCCGCCTCCGTTAGAACGGCCGCTGGTGCTGGGGGATCCTTTTGCGCACGCGCACAGCCTCTGGCCGGCTATTTCCTCGAGCGGGTTCCATCCTCTACCCAGCGCGCGCGAAGACTACGGAGGTCGACTCGGGAGCGCGCACGCAACTCCGCCTCGCGTCCGGCCCGCGAATCCCGCGGCGTCCAGCCCGGGTGGTCTGGGCCGCGGAGGGAATGCCCCGGAGGGCGGAGAACTGGGACGAGGCCGAGGCAGGCGCGGAGGAGGCAGGCGCCGAAGAGTACGGCCCTGAAGAGGACGGCCGGGAGGAGTCGGGCTCCGAGGAGTCCGGCCCGGAAGAGTCCGGTCCGGAGGAACTGGGCGCCGAGGAGGAGATGGAGGCAGGGCGGCCGCTGCCCGTGCTGCGCTCGGTGAACTCGCGCGAGCCCTCCCAGGTCATCTTCTGCAACCGCAGCCCGCGCGTCGTGCTGCCTCTATGGCTCAACTTCGACGGCGAGCCGCAGCCCTACCCAACGCTGCCGCCTGGCACGGGCCGCCGCATCCACAGCTACCGAGGTACGGGCCCGGCGCTTAGGCCTGACCCAGCAGGGACGATAGCACGGTCTGCTGAAGCCCCTCAACCGCTCCGGGGTCCATTTTGCAGACGGGGAACTGAGGCCCCTTGAGGCGGGACACATCCAGGGTGACGCTGCTCGCAAGCGTCAGAGCATTCTTTTTTTTTTTCCCCCGAGACGGAGTCTCACTCTGTCACCCAAGCTGGAGTGCAGTGGCGCGATCTCGACTCACTGCAGCCTCCGCCTTCCGGGTTCAAGCGATTCTCCTGCCTCAGCCTCCTGAGTTGCTGGGATTACAGGCGCGCGCCACCACGCCCGGCTGAGTTTTGTATTTTTAGTAGAGACGGGATTTCACCATGTTGATCAGGCTAGTCTCGAACTACTGACTTCGTGATCCGCCCGCCTGGGCCTTCTAAAGTGCTGGGATTATGGGCGTGAGCCGCCGCGCCTGGCCCAGAGCATTCTTTATAAGGCTGAATAGTTTGCATTTGAAGGTGGCTCCCTTCACCGCCCCCCCCCAACGTGTATTTTCCCCTAAAAGAAAAGCTTGGCTGGGCGCGGTGGTTCAAGCCTGTAATCCCAGCACTTTGGGAGGCCGAGACGGGCGGATCACGAGGTGAGGAGATCGAGACCATCCTGGCTAACACGGCGAAACCACGTCTCTACTAAATACAAAAAACTAGCCAGGCGAGGTGGCGGGCGCCTGTAGTCCCAGCTACTCGGGAGGCTGAGGCAGGAGAATGGCGTGAACCTGGGAGGCGGAGCTTGCAGTGAGCTGACATCCGGCCTGGGCGACAGAGCGAGACTCCGTCTCACACACACAAAAAGAAAAGCTCCATCTTTAACATCCCATCTCTTCAGTCCTGATGACTCCAGTGGGCCAGTTCTGCGCAGTCTCTGCCCTCATGGAGAACATATTCCTCCTGGGGAGACAGACAGATGCATTAACTGACAGGAATAAGCCAGGGTCATGTTGACGCCGGAAGAGCCGACGTGTGTGACGTGGGAGCTTGACCTACCTGCCTGCTCGGAGATGGAGGGGTTGCGGTTGTGTGGTTTCAGTTAAGGAGCGCTTCCCAGAGAAGGAAGGGAGCAGGATGGAGTAGGAGCTAGCCAATCCTAGGTAAGAGGTTCTAGACATGCGTGCGTTGAGACCTGGAGTCTTGAGAGAGGAAGCTCTAAAGGTGATTTTACCCCCTAGGAATGTGGAGGCATTGAATTTTTTTTTTTTTTTTTGAGACGGGAGTCTTGCCCTCCAAGCTGGAGTGCAGTGGCCCAAGCTAGAATGCAGTGAGGCAAGCTAGAATGCAGTGGCGCAATTGCGGCTCATTGCAACATCCGCCACCTGGGGTCAAGTGGTTCTCTTGCCTCAACCTTCCGAGGATTGGGGATTAGAGGCGTCCGCCACCACGCCTGGCTAATTTTTTTTTAGTAGAGATGGGGGTTTTGTCTTTTCGGCCAGGCTGGTCTCGAACTCCTGACCTCAGATGATCCACCGGCCTTGGCCTCCCAAAGTGCTGAGATTACAGGTGTGAGCCACTGCGCCCGGCCCTTTGAAAGTTTTTCTATATATATATATATTTGAGGTGTCTGGATCTGTCACCAGACTGGAGTGCTGTTGTGCAATCTTGGCTCACTGCAACCTCCCGATGCAACCTCCGGATGCAACCTCCCGACTCCCTGGTTCGAGCGGTTCTCCTGCCTCAGCCTCCCGAGTAGCTGGGATTACAGGAGCTTCAAGTATGTGCTCTTTGCTTACCCTCTTATACCTTGAGCATGTCACTTGCCCTCTCAGACCTGTTTTCTCATCTATAAATGGATATGTTGTGAGGACTGACTGAGATAATGTTACTAGAAGGGTTTTGTATGATATTTAAGCAGAGTGAGAGGCAAGCTTTTTAGCTTTTTGTGTAGGTCAGGGGAAATGGAGAAAATAGGTGCCCTGACTCAGACCAGTGTGGCTATTTTTTTTTTTTTTTTTTTTGGAGATGGAGTCTTGCTCTGTTGCCCAGGCTGGAGGGCAGTGGCATGATCTCAGCTCATTGCAAGCTCCACCTCCCTGGTTCACACCATTCTCCTGCCTCAGCCTCCTGAGTAACTGGGGCTACAGGCACTCGCTACCACACCCGGCTAATTTTTTTGTATTTTTAATAGAGACGAGGTTTCACCGCGTTAGCCAGGACGGTCTCGATCTCCTGACCTCGTGATCCGCCTGCCTCGGCCTCCCAAAGTGCTGGGATTACAGGTGTGAGCCACCGCGCCCGGCCACCAGTGTGGCTCTTTAACAACCTTTGCTTGTCCTGATAGGTCACCTTTGGCTCTTCAGAGATGCAGGGACACACGATGGGCTTCTGGTTAACCAAACTGAATTATTTGTGCCATCTCTCAATGTTGACGGACAGCCTATTTTTGCCAATATCACACTGCCAGGTACTGATGTTCAGTTTTACTTTTTAAAAAGATAAGGTTGTTTGTTGTGGATAGGCCACTTGAAAAATTAAGCCCAGTCCTTAATTTTTGCCTGATGTCAGGCAAGGTATCCAATCTTTTTGTATCCTATTCTCTACCATAAATAAAATGGAACTGATGTATTTGTATGTTCTGTGTTAAAGATGTTATGGTGTCTCAAAAGCACTTTGGGCTCTTAAGAGGCAAGCAAAATTAAAGTATCACATCATAGATTAGTTTTGTAGAACTGTAAAATTATGAATGCCTTTTGTTTCCCTGGCCGAATTGTGCCCTGGAGCTCCAGGAGAACAATGTGTAGAGCATGAGATATTTTGGCTTATTTCTTGTTGACTTCTAATTTTTTTTATTTTTTTCAGATGGAATCTCGTTGTGTTGGCCAGGGTGGAGTACAGTGGCGCAGTCTTGGCTCACTGCAACCTCTGCCTACTGGGTTCCAGCGATTCTCCTGTCTCAACCTCCTGAGTAGCTGGGACTACGGCGTGTGCCACCCACCCTGCTAATTTTTTGTATTTTTAGTAGAGACAGGGTTTCACCATGTTAGCAGGATGGTCTCCATCTCCTGACCTCATGATCTGCCTGCCTCAGCCTCCCAAAGTGCTGGGATTTACAGGTGTCAGCTGCAGCACCCGGCCTATGTATTTTTATTTTTATATTTATTTATTTATTTATTTGAGACAGAGGTGTCTCCCTCTGTCGCCCACGCTGGAGCGCAGTGGCATGATGTTGGCTCACTGCAAGCTCCACTTCCTGGGTTCATGCCAATCTCCTCCCCCAGCCTCCCCGGTAGCTGGGACTACAGGCGGCCGCCCCCGTGCCTGGCTAATTTTTTTTGTATTTTTTAGTAGAGATGGGGTTTCACCGTGTTAGCCAGGATGGTCTCATTCTCCTGACCTCGTGATCCACCCGCCTTGGCTTCCCAAAGTGTTGGGATTACAGGCGTGAGCCACTGCGCCTGGCCTATGTATTTTTAATTTAACACAATCAAGCTCACAGTGCCAATCAGAGGTATATTTATTTTTGTTTTTATTTTTAGAGAGTCTCACAGTGCCATCCAGGCTGGAGTGCAGTGGTGTGATTTCAGCTCACTGCAGCCTCTGCATCCCAGGTACAAGTGATTCTCCTGCCTCAGCCTCCTGGGTAGCTGGGGTTATAGGCGCCTGCCACCACACCTGGCTAATTTTTGTATTTTTAGTAGAGATGTGGTTTCATCATGTTGGCCAGGCTGATCTTGAACTCCTGACCTCAGGTGATCCGCCCACCTCAGCCTCCCAAAGTGCTGGGATTATAGGCATGAGCCACCGCGTCTGGCCGGTTTTTTGTTTTTTTTTTAAATCATTGAAGATTGGTATAATACTTCACTATTTGTTTGAAGCTCAAATGATTTTATCAGGGTAAACCCTAATAAACTGATGTTCCTGTGGGTAAAAAAACTCACTAAAGATCAGCAATGCATGGTGGCTCATGCCTATAATCATGCCTGTAATTCCAGCACTTAGGGAAGCTGTGGCGGGAGGGTCGCTTGAGGTCAGGAGTTCTTGACCAGCCTGGACAACAAATTGAGACCCCAGCTCTACAGAAAATTTTTTTAATTACCTGGCTGTCTTAGCATGTGCCTGTAGTCGCAGCGATTTGGGAGGCTGAGGTGGGAGGATCCCTTGAGCCCAGGAGTTCGAGGCTGCAGTGAGCCATGATCACACCACTGCACTCCAGCCCAGGTGACAGAGTGAGACCCTGTCTCAAAAAAGAAAACAAACAAACAAAAAAAACAACCCACAAAGCCCCCCAAATACGTGGGTTTCATAGGATTCAAACTAATACGTGTGCATAGATTCTGTTTTAAGGAAGTAGATATATCAAAATGAGCATTGCTGAGTTAAATTTGGTAAATTTGCCTTATAGAATACCCTTAAGGAGTACGTTTCCAGTGAGTGTAAAATAGGAATTGGGATACCCAATTCGGTTGTACTAGATTTTTGAACTACACATTGTTTTGGTTATGTGTTTTGTGACTACCACCCCAAAAACCACCTTTTTTTTTTTTTTTTTTTTTTTTGGAGACAGAGTCTTACTGTGTCGCCCAGGCTGGAGTGCAGTGGTGTGTGATCTTGGCTCACTGCAACCTCTGCCTCTTGGGTTCAAGCGATTCTCCTGCTTCAGCAGCTGGGACTACAGGTGTGCACCACCAAGCCTGGCTAATTGTTTGCATTTTAGTGGAGACTGGGGTTTCGCCATGTTGACCAGGCTGATCTTGAACTCCTGAGCTCAGGCAACCTGCCTGTCTTCAGCCTCCTAAAGTGCTAGGATTACAGGTGTGAGCCACCGCACCTGGCCCACCATTTTATTTTGTTCATAATTCTGTAGTCCAGGCTGGGCTCAGCTAGGCGGTTGGTAGTCGTACCATCAGCTCTGCTGGTGGTAGTCGTTGGTATGGCTGTCTTTTGCTGGCAGCTGGGGGCTGGACGTGTCCCTCTTTTTTTTTTTTTTCTTTTTTCTTTTTTTTCGAGATGGGTTCTCACTCTGTCACCCAGGTTGGAGTGCAGTGGCATGATCTCAGCTCACTGCAACCTCTGCCTCCAGGGCTCAAATGATCCTCCTCCCACCTCAGCCTCCCCAGTCACTGGGACCACAGGCACGTGCCACCATGCCTGGCTAATTTTTTGTATATTTTATAGGGACAGGGTTTTGCCATGTTGCCCAGGCTGGTCTCGAACTCCTGAGCTCAGGCGATCTACTGACGTCAGCCTCCCAAAGTGCTGGGATCACAGGCATGAACCACCATGCCTGGCCAGGGCCTGTTCCTCTTTATGTGGTCTCTCTAGCACGGTGGCTCAGGGCTTTCAAAAGAATAAAAGCAGAAGTCGACAGGCCTTTTTAAGGCTTCGACCCAGAATTGCAGTGTCGCTTCATCCACATTCAGTTAGTTAAAGCAGTCACAAGCCCAGCCCATTTCAAGGTGAAATTACTACCATGAGGTGTCCATAGGGGGCCATCAGTATAACACACTGCCACATACATGCACTCACTTTTTTTCTTTAACCTAAAGTGAGATCCATCAGTAGTAAAGGTAGCTGTTGGCAAAGCCTCTTGCTCATTCCTTGTACCGAGACCCTAGTCTGCCACTGAGGATTTGGTTTTTGCCCTTCCAGTGTATACTCTGAAAGAACGATGCCTCCAGGTTGTCCGGAGCCTAGTCAAGCCTGAGAATTACAGGAGACTGGACATTGTCAGGTCGCTCTACGAAGATCTGGAAGACCACCCAAATGTGCAGAAAGACCTGGAGCGGCTGACGCAGGAGCACATTGCAAATCAACGGATGGGAGATTGAAGATTTCTGTTGAAACGTACACTCTTTCATCTCAGCTTTTGATGGTACTGATGAGTCTTGATCTACATACAGGACTGGTTCCTTACTCAGTTTCAAAGTGTCTCATTCTCAGAGTAAAATAGGCACCATTGCTTAAAAGAAGGTTAACTAACTTAACTAGGCATTGTGATGTTTAGGGGCAAACATCACAAAATGTAATTTAATGCCTGCCTATTAGAGAAGTATTTATCAGGAGAGGGTGGTGGCATTTTTGCCTCCTAGTAAGTCAGGACAGCTTGTGTGTAAGGAGGTTTGTATAAGTAATTCAGTGGGAATTGCAGCATATCGTTTAATTTTAAGAAGGCAGTGGCATCTGCTTTTAATGGATGTATAATACATCCATTCTACATCCATAATGGTTGGTGACTTGTCTCCCTCCTGTTTTGGGAAGACTGAGGCATCCTTGAGGCAGGGACAAGTCTTTGTCCTCTTTGAGACCCCAGTGCCTGCACATCATGAGCCTTCAGTCAGGGTTTGTCAGAGGAACAAACCAGGGGACGCTTTGTTAGAAAGTGCTTAGAGGTTCTGCCTCTATTTTTGTTGGGGGGTGGGAGAGGGGACCTTAAAATGTATACAGTGAACAAATGTCTTAAAGGGAATCATTTTTATAGGAAGCACTTTTTAAATTTTCTAAGTTGTGCACTTTTCTTGGTCCACTCTTGTTGAAGTGCTGTTTTATTACTATTTCTAAACTAGAATTGGCTTTCTATAGTTGTGATAATAGCATTTTTGTAACTTGACAGCTGTACAGAAAATAGGAGAAAATCTGCATGTTTGATTCTAGTATTAATGGGCAAATAAGTTTTTGCTAAATGTGAGTATGTCTGTTCTTTTTTGTAAATATGGGACATTCCTGATTGATTTGGGTGTTTTGTTTTGTTTTTTTTGAGATGGAGTCTCGCTCTTGTCACCTGAGCTGGAGTGCAGTGGCGCCATCTCGGCTCACTGCAACCTCTGTTTCCTGGGTTCATGCGATTCTCCTGCCTTAGCCTCCTGAGTAGCTAGGATTATAGGCACCCGCCACCACGCCTGGCTAATTTTTGTACTTTTAGTGGAGACAGGGTTTCGCCATGTTGGCCAGGCTGGTTTCAAACTCCTGACCTCAGGTGATCCGCCCACCTCAGCCTCCCAAAATGCTGGGATTACAGGCGTGTGAGCCACCGTGCCTGGCTGATTCGGCATTTTTCATCAGGCAGGACCAGGTGGCACTTCCACCTCTAACCTCTGGTCCTACCAGTGGATTCATGGAGTAGCCTAGAATGTTTCATAGTTTTCTAAATATACAAACTCTTATAAGCTAGACTTAAATTCATTAACTCAAATTCAATACTTCTATCACACTCAGTTTTTTGTAACTAATAGCTTTTTTTTTTAAATTTTTATTCTATTCCTCCCCTAATAGCTTTTAAAAAATTATCTCCAGTAGAGAAACATTTGGAAAAGACAGAAAACTAAAAAGGAAGAAAAAATATCCCTATTAGATACACTTCTTAAACACAGCCACATTAACAGTTTGAACTGTTTCCTTTCAGCCTTTTTAGGGCATATATTGGTTGATTTTTACATAGTTGAGATTGTACTGTTTATACAGTTTTATACCCTACTTTTTCATTTAACTTTGTAACTTAACTATTTCTCTATGTTATTATAAGCTTTTCACAAACATTAGTGTAGTCTTCCTTTTATAATTAATGTTTGGGGGTATTTCTTGGCATCTTTAATTTTCCTTATCCTAGCCTTTGGGCACAATTCCTGTGCTCAAAAATGAGAGTGACGGCTGGCATGCTGGCTCACGCCTGTAATCCCAGTGCTTTGGGAAGCCAAGGAAGAGGACTGCTTGAGCCCAGAACTTCAAGATGAGCCTGGGCTCATAGTGAGACCCCATCTATACAAAAAAATTTTTAAAAATTAGGCCGGGCGCGGTGGCTCAAGCCTGTAATCCCAGCACTTTGGGAGGCGGAGATGGGTGGATCACGAGGTCAGGAGATCGAGACCATCCTGGCTAACACGGTGAAACCCCGTCTCTACTAAATATTACAAAAAACTAGCCGGGCAAGGTGGCGGGTGCCTGTAATCCCAGGTACTCGGGAGGCTGAGGCAGGAGAATGGCGTGAACCCGGGAGGCGGAGCTTGCAGTGAGCCGAGATCTGGCCACTGCACTCCAGCCTGGGCGACAGAGCAAGACTCTGTCTCAAAAAAAAAAAAAAAAATTAGTGTGGCGGCACACATCTGTAATCCTAGCTACCTGGCAGGCTGAGGTGAGAAGATCATTTGAGTTTAGGAATTGGAGGCTGCAGTGAGCCATGAGTACGCCACTGCACTCTATCCTGGGGGACAGAGCAAGACCCTGGCTCAAAAAAAAAAAAAAAATCAGGCCAGGCATGGTGGCTCATGCCTGTAATCCCAGCACTTTGGGAAGTCGAGGCAGGCAGATCACCTGAGGTCAGGAGTTCAAGACCAGCCTGGCCAACATGGTGAAACCCCGTTTCTACTAAAAATACAAGAATTAGCCAGGTATGGTGACGCACACCTGTAATCCCAGCTACTCAGGAGGCTGAGGCAGGAGAATTGCTTGAACCCAGGAGGCGAAGGTTGCAGTGAGCTGATATCACACTGTTGCACTCTAGCCTGGGTGACACAGCGATACTATGTCTCAGAAAAAAAAAAAAAAAATTCAAATTAGAGTGAAGTGAATGAGACACTCCACAGTTTTCCTTCTACTGCAAATTTCAACTGATTTTAGCCCCTTCTTTCAACATTCAACAAATAGTCTTTTTTTTTTTTTTTTTCTTTGAGATGGAGTCTCACTCTGTTGCCCAGGCTGGAGTGCAGTGGCGTGATCTCTGCTCACTGCAAGCTCCACCTCCCGGCTTCAAATGATTCTCCTGGCTCACCCTGCTGAGTAGCTGGGATTACAGGTTCCCGCCACCATGCCTGGCTAATTTTGTATTTTTAGTGGAGATGGGGTTTCACCATGTTGGCCAGGATGGTCTTGATCTCCTGACCTCGTGATCCACCCACCTCAGCCTTCCAAAGTGGTGGGATTACAGGCGTGAGCCCCTGCGTCCAGCCAGCCTTTTTTTTAACCTTTGTGTCAAAATGATAGTTCATGTTCCTCTTGTTAAAACATGTAGGCCGAGCACGGTGGCTCATGCCTGTAATCCCAGCATTTTGGGAGGCCGAGGCAGATGGATCACCTGAGGTCAGGAGTTCAAGACCATCCTGGCCAACATGGTGAAACCTCATCTCTATTTAAAATACAAAAATTGCCAGGTGCAGTGGCTCACACCTGTAATCCCAGCACTTTGGGAGGCCAAGGCGGGCAGATCAGGAGGTCAGGAGATCGAGACCATCCTGGCTAACACGGTGAAACCCTGTCTCTACTGAAAAATAGAAAACATTAGATGGGCGTGGTGGTGGGCGCCTGTAGTCCCAGGTACTCGGGAAGCTGAGGCAGGAGAATGGCGTGAACCCGGAAGGCGGAGCTTGCAATGAGCTGAGATCATGCCACTGCACTCCAGCCTGGGCAACAGAGTGAGACACTGTCTCAAAAAAGGAAAAAAACAAAAATTATCCGGGCATGGATACGGGCACCTGTAATCCCAGCTACTCTGTAGGCTGAGGCAGGCAAATCTCTTGAACCTGGGAGGTGGAGGTTGCAGTGAGCCAAGATCACACCATTGTACTCCAGCCTGGGCAACAAGAGTGAAATTCCATCTCAAAACAAACAAACAAACAAAAAAACCCATACAGTTTGAGTACTGTGTTTTTGGTGTTGTCCAAGGAAAATTAAAAACCTGTAGCGTGAATAATATATGTTTTTCATTTGAAATCTTGTGAATGTATTAAATATATAGCTCTTAAGAGACTGTGAAGTTCCTATTTTAAGTTTTTTTTTTTTTTTTTTTTTTAAGCTGTTCTTTAATACATTAAATGGTGCTGAGTAAAGGAAATAGGCAAGGTGTGTTGTGTGGTGTTTTAACCAGGTGCTTCTCTCTCAGAGAGTTTTGAAACCTGTTTACATAAAGGCCCGGGATGAGAAGGAGATCCAGACATAAGCCACCAGCCTCATTCCAAGTCTCTTCTCTTTCCAACCCTGGATTTTTTTTTTTACTTAACATTGTTTCTTTTAGCTTTATTTTTCTTATAAAAGAAATATATCACTATACAAAATTAAACACTACAGAAAAATATTAAGAAGAAAAACATTCACCTCAGAAACAAAGTTTTTTCCCATGAAAACAGGACCCAAAAAGGTAAGTGGTTAGTATTTCACCAGCAATTAATTATGTTGAGAATAAGGCCAGGTGAGGTGGCTCATGCCTGTAATCCCCGCACTTTGGGAGGCCAAGGCGGGCAGATCATCTGAGATCAGGAGTTTGAGACCAGCCTGGCCAACATGGTGAAACCCTATCTCTACTAAAAATAAAAAAAAAAATTAGCTGGGTGTGGTGGCATGTGCCTGTAATCCCAGCTATTCAGGAGGCTGAGGCAGGAGAATTGCTTGAACCTGGGAGGCAGAGGTTGCAGTGAGCCAAGATTGCACCATTGCACTCTAGCCTGGGCGACGAGTGAAACTCTGTCTCAAAAAAAAAAAAAAAAAAAAATATATATATATATATATGTTGAGAATACAACAGTGAGGGCATGTGCTAGAAATCAGTGCACTAAGGATATGAAATAGATATCGATGTTTTACACAATGTGTGAACACCAGTGTGAACTTTTCGGATACTTTCACCCTGGGTCTCTGTATCCCATTCTTAGCACCTCAGTCCCACTCTCTGCTAGTCACAGGCTTCCTGATACCCCTTCAATACAGACTGAGTATCCCTAGTCCAAAAATTCCAAATCCAAAGTGCTAAAAAATCCAAAAGTTTCTGAGTCCTGACGTGACTCCACAAGTGGAAAATTCCACATGTGAGTACTTAATACAAACTTCGTTTCATGTGCAAAACTATGAAAAATATTGCTCAAAATTACCTTTAGCCTGTGTCTATAAGGTGTATATGAAACTAGTGTTGTGATGTATATGTTTTCTGTTTTTGTTCCTGGCTCAACTCCCACAGCCCTTGTTATGGATGTGAGCCACCTTGCCTGGTTAATTTTTTTTTTTTTTGAGATGGAGTCTCGCTCTGTCGCCCAGGCTGGAGTGCAGTGGCCGGATCTCGGCTCACTGCAGGCTCCGCCTCCCAGGTTCATGCCATTCTCCTGCCTCAACCTCCTGAGTAGCTGGGACTACAGGCGCCCGCCACCTCGCCCGGCTAGTTTTTTGTATTTTGTTAGTAGAGACGGGGTTTCACCGTGTTAGCCAGGATGGTCTCGATCTCCTGACCTCCAGATCCGCCCGTCTCGGCCTCCCAAAGTGCTGGGATTACAGGCTTGAGCCACCGTGCCCGGCCCTGCCTGGTTAATTTTTAAGTTTTTTTGCAGAGATAGGGTCTCGCGCTGTTGCCCAGGCTGGTCTTGAACTCCTGGGCTCAAGCGATCCTCCCACCTTGGCCTCCCAAAGCCCTGGTATTATAGCCCTCATTTCAGAGAAGGTCCCACCCCATACCCTGGGGGAAGGAATGGTGACATAAAGCCTCGTTAAAACCCATGAGGACAGTGGAGAGCATCAGGATAGCTGAACTTGTAGAGATTCCTGGAGGGTGGTTTGTCCAGGGAGGGGACAGAAGCTCTGTGCCCCTTACCTATGCCTTGGTCTATGCATTTCTTCATCTGTATCCTTTGTTGCATCCTTTATGATAAACCGGGTAGGCCGGGCATGGTGGCTCACACATATAATCCCAGCACTTTGAGAGGCTGAGGTAGGAGGATTGCTTGAGCCCAGGAGTTCAAGACCAGCCTGGACATCATAGATCCTGTCTCTACTAGGAAAAAAAAAAAAAAAAATTAACCAGGAGGGGTGGCGCATGCCTGCAGTCCCAGCTGTTCAGTTTGCACTCCAACCTGAGTGACAGAGCAAGCCCCTGTCTTGAAAAAATGACTGGTAAACATGTTTCACTGAGTTTTGTTAGCCACTCCAGCAAATTAAACCCAAAGAGAGGGTGGTGGGAACCTTATCTTGAAGCTAGTTGGTCAGAAGTTCTGGAGCCCCAGACTTGATACTGGTGTGGGGATGGGGGCAGTCTTGAGGACTGAGCCCTGACCCTGCAGGATCTGATACTATTTCCAGAAAGACTGTGTCGGAAGTGAATTAGAGGATACCTAGTTGGTGTTCACTGCAGAACTGATGGCTTGCTTGCTCTTGGGAAGAAATCGACACATTTGGACACAAAAGTGTTCTGGGTTGGTATTGTGTTCGTGTGGAATCTAGAGGAAAAACACGGAGTTTTTCTGAAACAGGTAATGAATTTCACCCTTAGACTTGGGTCCCATCCTCAAGATATCTCATTATAGATATGCACATATTTCAAAATACAAAAAAATCTGAAATTGGAAACACCTTCAGTCCCAAGCATTTCCAATGAGGGATATTCAACTTGTTTTTCCCCTTCCTTTCGGCACACCTAAACTGCCTGCCCCAACAAAACATTTTCCTGCCCCCACCCCTCGCCACACATACCCAGTAGTCCATTGGCAGGTCACAGAACATTGAGGTACACGTATGATGGACATGAGAAGGATTGGGCAATAGTACTCGATATATGAGAGGGAGAAAAACCCACAAAACTTGTTTCAAAATTCAAAACATGAAACTGCAGGAAAATATAAGTTCTGCTTGACATACAAACTAATGGCAGTAGG